CAGGGCTTCACCAGTGAGCCTGGGGGGGGCTAGCACTCACTCAGTCACACTCGAACACTGGGCTGCTTCCCGCCGCTGCTTCTGGATTTATTGTGTTGATGACAGTATTATAGCTCCTAACTCCGTGCTCCTGGGAAGCTTGAAATATCCCCCTTTTTCCGATTCTTATTAATTTTCTTTTTTGCTTCGTAAAAAGGCAATACAGCAGAGAGCCGGCCACAACAGACCCTGGTGTAGTGTATCCCTGTACAGTTAAGCTAACCTCACAGTGCACGATGGGGTGGACTGGCAAAGCGAGGAGAGAGCTGATCCATGCACATAGGAATTTGTTTAATTTAAATATTGGAACTCTGCCTTAAACCATTCAGGGCCTAAAGTCAGACTGCATACAACACAAATATACAGCAAAGATACTTAATGCCTATTCTTTTTAAATGTTGCCTAAAGCTAATAGTTTAACATTTTTTTTGTTTGTCTATGTGTCATATTTATTAAGCTTGCTTTTATAAAAATGTTTATAATCTATAATTTGAAAGCATTAAATTCTTTTTTTATGTTCCAATTTTTTTTTAATGAAAGTGGTGAATAGTTTCAAATGGTGAGTGGGGTGGTGACAATTCTGCCACAGAACAAAAAGTAACATCTGATCTCTCACAGGAGTGACTCTTAGTGGCTACCGCTGAAATCACCCACTCTCCTCCGCCAAACCAAAAAAGAAAACTCATGGGAAAATTCAGGGCAGGAAGCCTTCACCATTAGTGATGCTCTAAATGACTAAACAGAAACAGAATGACTTCATTATTCAAGATGAACAGAACCTTTAGCTACCACTTCAAGTTGCATTAAAAACTGAAGGACTGGGGCTGTCTAGGACCAGTATTTGATGATCACTTTGCAATAGGATTTACAGTGTGCTGTAGAAAGAACTACTCTAGCAAGCTCCTTGTAAATGCTTCAGTGGTTCAGCCTTTGCAAACGTTAAGCTGAAATAACACTCAGCCATGTGTCCTATTTTCTAGTGCCTTTAATTGCTATAGCAGAACTTGCAGTCAGAACAAAACTGCAGCCTACAGATATCTGAAAATGAACACAGTAAAATGGGCACCAGCTTTTTCAGTACTGTGGTGAACAGACCTGCTGTGTTGTGGCTCAAATAGCTATTGAGTCATTGTGACCATATCATCTCAAGTTCACTGGTTTTGCTCCTGGACTGAGACTTGTTTTCTCCTGATTCTGTAAAACGTACTGTAACAACAGTGGTCCTTCAGTGCAGTCTGGTAACATCCCATTAAAACACTTACCTGATGACACGCACCATGTGTGGGCTGGTTCATTTCTTGAGACGTCACCCTAAAAAGAAGGAGAAACAGTGAAGATCAGACTATGGGCTGTTCCTTGTGATGGGCAGTAAAGATTTCCCATGATCCCCCCATCATGTTCAAAAAGATCACTTTACAGTCATGCCTGGAGCCCGGAAGATCACAGGACCGAGCTGGCTGAAACCAGCTCGGGGGAGCGAGGGTGCAGCTCTTTCCTTGCTCTCCAGCTACAGTCCAGCTGCTCTCTGGAGCAGCGCCAGCGCCTGTGGAGGTGCTGATGTGCAGATGCATTATAGGCAGTGCTCACGATCCCAGCTACTGCTACCGCCGCCCACGAGACTGGCTGGACAGATGTGCCTCCAGAATGACAATGATACATGAGAGGAAGGATTCCTCATTAGCTCCAGGACAGACCAGGACCTTTAAACTTTCTTAATGGGTTACTGAAAACAATGCAGATAATAATAATAATAATAATAATTGCTTACACTTATATAGTGCTTTTTCTGGACACTCCACTCAAAGCGCTTTACAGATGGAAAAAGGAAAATAAAATGATTCAATAGTGCAGTTAGCTTAGCTGAGTGGTATGATACTTATTCCACTGGGGCAAAGAGGAACGTTTATTATTGTCCAAATCGAGACTCTAGTGCTATGTTGTCCTTCACTAGTATGACGTCAGTATTATTTTAAAATGCAAAGTCACTTATAACTCTGAAAAATGGGAATATACTACAGCCCTCTGCAATCCTTTGATCCAGTGAATAAATCCAGTACAAACGTTGTATGTAAACGAATACTTATGAGATATCTCGAGTACTGCATACACAATCACTGCTCTAAACTCAGTTTACACAATAAACAACCGGGGTTAATCCTTGCTTTAAACGCAGGTTCTACGGAGACTGATTAAATGAACTGAAACTCTTTAGTCTTAATGTTATGAGCAGACCTGTTAATGTAAATGTTCAAAGACCTGAAAAGATGAGAAAACTCGGCCAAATACGTGCCTTTGGGTTAGACTGAACCAATAACCCCAGGACACAACCAGAAGGAGTGCATTCAAGTGAGCAGCAGACAGTCCTTTACACAAAGGGTAGCAGGAGTGGAACAAGAACCCAGCCATGGTGTCAAAGCTGATAGTCTGGGACCCTTAAATAAAACAGAAAGATGAGAGCCACCAATCACTTCGCTACAAGCACTCAAACAAGCCACTGAGCTTGGATCATTCTGAATTAGTTTGTGGCGTCTCGCTTGTGTTCTTCCACAAACATTGCGCTCCTCGCAATAAGAGACCATCAGGAGACAACGGACCGGTTCTCAAAGAGCCACAGCTGTCAGCAGAGCTGAAGAGCTGCAGCCCAAGAGTTATGCCTGCTGGGCGACCTTATGCCATGACTTCAATCCACACAGGCTGAACTATCGCTACTGTGTGAAACAGACCATGCATACTGTCAGAAATCCTCCCTCATTCATGGGTGCCAACTAATACTGTATTACTAGTTGAGAGCTGGGGGAAACAGCAACATCTTTAAGCTTTCCTGCTTTTGTTTTTGCCTAATCAAGATCATTAGCATAGTCAAGAACAGTCTGAGCCAGCAGGGGCAGAACGGTGGTGCAGTAGTCAGCATTGCTGCCCCCTCAGTGCTGGGGGCCTGGGTTCAATTCTGGACCTGGGGTGCTGTCTGTGAGGAGTTTGTATGCTCTCCCCACGTTTGCAGGAGTTTCCTTCGGGTGCTCCATTTTCCTCCCACAGTCCAAAGACATACTGGGAGGTTAACCGGCTTCTGGGAAGACTGGCCCTGGTGTGAGCAAGCAACGGGTGCAAGATGGGGGTACATGTGCCTGTGCCTGTGTCAGCCCTGTCACGGACTGGTGTCCCATCCAGGGTGTACCCCGCCTTGCGCCTGTTGCTTGCGGGAAACTCTCCTGTTCCCCAGTGACCCTGAATTAGATGTAACTCCTAAACAAAAATGGGTGGCGGTTTGAGCCAAAAGAAGGACCCAAGTATGCGTGCTCACTCGTAGCTGTGAAAAGGACTCTCCAGGAAACATTCAGCCACTGTGCCAGATTACAGAGGCCACCAGACGACTGACTGCACCCTCTTCCTCACAGCTACAGACTGGTTTCCTGTCGGTTGCCGGGAAACTCTCCTGTTCCCCAGTGACCCTGAATCAGATGTAACTCTTGAGTGTCCGCAGCACCCTGTACCCACACCAGAGACAGCGCTGCCCTTTCACTCCACAACGAAAGCTCTGAGCCCACGCCACTGTCCTGTTAAACTAGCAACACTGTACAACTTGGCACTGCCTGTTCATTACATACAGTAACCCACAGGCTCTCCATTAATAGCTCCACAGCATCAGAAACCCTATGCTCATGTGCAGTACAGGCCACCATCCCACAGATATAATGTGCTTGAGCCTCTGCAAGTAACAGCATACAGTTTGAACAGGATGTTGCAGTTTTTCCATTCTTCTACCTTCCAAAAGAGGTAGAGCTCTATTGACAAATACTAATTCAATCTGGATATGAGGACATTTCTCAACAGCAATGAAAAACCAACCCAGCGGATTTCTGCAGAATCAACAGTGAAAAATACGCTCTTCTTATTCTGCCCTCCTTACTGTCCCCCAAGCCCGTCTACATTGTATGGGTGACAGGGCCTTCTCCTGCTATGCCCCCAAGCTCTGGAACTCTTTGCCCAAGGATGTCAGAGAGTCACCTTCTCTAAACTCCTTCAAATCCAGACTCAAAACCCTCTTCTTCAGAAAAGCCTTTACTGAACTGGTTCCATTCTTCACCCCTCTGCTCCTCCTAGTACCACCATCCACGGTCTCCTCTATATATTGTAATTGTGTTTTACCTTGTGTATTCTTCTTATTTATTGCTGTTGTCATACTGTAAAGCGCTTTGAGAAGCCACCTTTAAAGGCGCTATATTAAATAAAGTTTATTATTATTATTATTATAATAATTACTGATGATCAGTTAATCAAATTGCTATTATCTACTGCATGTTCCTACATATTGTCTTAAGACACTATTTCCATGCACACGTAAAAATCTGCAAAGCACGGCATCACAGGATACATACACCAATTTGATTTCCTTCCACGTTCGTTTCTTAGTCCCGTTGAAAAAGATCATTTAAACAGACAGTGCCACCTAGTGGCTGCGATAAGAACAAAGGACAGAATACAGGAAGGCCTTTCTGCCTGTCTAGTTCGGTTGCTAGTAGCTGATCGATGCAGCTTTCTGAAAGAAGCCAGACTGGGTAGCTACAACATGATCGGGTAGCCTGTTCCATACTCCCACAACCCCTGGTGTAACCAAAAGCCTAAAGCTTGCACTTTTAAAGCACTTCCCCATAGTTTCCATCTGTGAACCTGGTTAGTGTTTTGACTGCTGATTCTGAAGCAGACCGTTGGGTAGGATTTGTCAGTACAGAAGGTGCAAGGTTGTTCTCTGGTGGTTCTTTCAGAGACAACAGAATGAGCCTGTTTACAGGTTGAATACCGATACTCTGGGCATTGTTTCACTGCGCTGACATCTCCAGGAATATACAGAAACCTCTGTGATGATGTAGTTATTGTGGTTCTAAAATAAAACGATACCGATGTTTTTAATAAGTCTTAATTTTTCAATGAGTAAAAAACATGCTATAAGCCCTAATGAACAAGAGCACTGAAACATTCTGAGAGCCTACGCAGGAAGCCTGAACGTTCAGATCTTGTATTTATAGTTGAGACATTACGTCAGATCTCCACTTCAACACCGGTAGAGACTATAGGAAGGACCCTCTGAAACACCCAGCATGACAGCAATTTTATACACAAGGCCGCCTTTGACCCTGTATCAGAGATGCCACAGGTCCAAGGCAGGGGGTCACCATCAAAGGCGATGGATAGAATGTAGGTGCTGTTCTGTACTGTGTGTCCTCTGCCGGATACCACACGTTAGGAGCTTCAGTCTTGTAAGATGGCTTTCATCTTTTATTTTTGCAATGATACCTCTGTGCTTGATGCACAATTGCACCGTACGCTTATATACTGTAGTAGGACATAACAGGTCCCAGTTTTTTCCAAGTAAAGGCAATCCGTTACAGATCTTAAACTAGGTCTTCCTTCGGTACACCCCTCGTATTCCAAACTAGAAAAACACCTACTTACTGCTACTGTAAATAAAACGTGTTACAATTTACCAAATTGCAGTTCTTAAAAACAAGAGTGGCTCTAAATTGCTATACAGTCATTTCCGGACGTTAATAAAACTTCAGGAAACATTTTTTTGTAACTCCTGATCACCTACGTCAGCAAGAAAGGTCGGTGTTGCTCAGGCAAAGAGGTCAGAGGTGAATCGAGTCAATTTATAAAGGTCTTTTCGTTTTGCAAAGCCTCGCCTTTCTCGTCCCACGGTAAATATTCACGGGATACGGTGCTGTCGTGTTTCATTTCAGTGCGAAAACATTTTTTCTGAAATACACCCGTTCGTATTTCTGCCTCGCTGAATTCAGAAGTTTCACCAGTGTGCAAAACCACGCCACACACTGAACCCACATAACACAATCCCCCGGTTTGTAAAAATGAGCAGAATTACGGCAGCTGCACAAGGTAATCTACGACGCTGTGGCTTTTTTCCCTCTTTTTATAATGCAACGCAGACGTATCGTTTACTTACCGTAAGCCTCGGGAAAAAAACGTTGGGTCAGGCCACAAGTCAGGCCGTGGACCGCCGCATAAATATTTGTGAGTTCCAACTTTTCATGCCGATTTCCAAATTGAATAAATCACGGTTCGCCACACAGATGCATATGATAGAAGACCGCGGACGAGGCCGCATTGTTTTCCACGCCTTGAGAGAAACAAATACACTTTTTAAGTGTTGGGAGCGAGTCTTACCCGGAACGGCCGGTCCCTCGCCACCTGCGCTCATCACAGCCGTTCACACTTCGGCTTCTAGCCCCGGGAAAACTCACCCATCACAATATTGATAATGCAATACATAATAGTAGGTCCCTACTAAACATCTTCATGAAAATGCAATACAGATTTGAACCAATACGTTGCTACCCCAATCGTGCACAAATGAAATCAACAAAACTTCGTATTTAATCTTGATATTTCTACAATTGTTACAAGAAGAGCGCGCGATATATCTATACTACCCTGAGGTGGCGACACCGAATAGATGATGCCGACCAGGTGTCTTTTACTCGGCCAAGCTGTGTGATGAATACTCCGAACCTCAGCTGCTCAGTAGTGGACAATTCAGCTTCAAAATGAGCTAGAACGTGGACTTGAACAGGCTTGGAGATAGATTTCCAACATTCCTGCCAGTGATAATGAAACTGATCATCTCTTCTAACCTGTGTTAATTACTGATAGTCTGTTAAAACTCTATACGGTGTCTTATCTGTACTGCCCATCGATTTTTAAGAAACATATTTGTGTCTAAAAACATGTTAAGAGTCACCTGTGCTTTGTTCACCAATTTATTGAAACGGAGAAAATGTCGAACAGCTCAGAGCAGGTAAAGGATTTCTCCTCAGTCTGTTACAGTCCTCTCAGGCCGCTCAGGTGAGGTAGACCATGACCTGATTCTTTTTGCTGTCAACTGGGGTCATGTCAGCAGTCATGCACTTCAGTGTCAAATTCATTCACTCACCTCGGCAGCAACAATGGCCCCGGCAACTACTGTGTAAAGACTTGAGAGAAATACTGTAAACATATCGAGATCATAGTATATATATATACTAAGATCAACTCATTTCCTGACCTCTTGGGGTCGTAGAACCAATATACTTATACCACAAAAGCCCACGAGTTCTGTGTATCTAACACACTCACTGACTGGACAGAATGTTTGGATCTGCCAGCCTGACAGTGAGACTGTGTCTTGAAAAGCCCAACAGAGACTTCCATCCCCATTCCTACCTGAATGATCCCTGCATCTTAATCCTTCCAGGACCAGGGGACTTGCCTGAAGGTGCAGTTTGAGCCACACCTTTACCCTCATCACAGCCTGAATGGGATGGTTCTGGGATCAAATATACAGTACGGGAAAACTGTGGAATACTCACAGGGGCCTTTTCCGACTGTCTCGCTGGTGACAGCATGTTCATCTAGGCGTGTGCGGGGTCCTGATATTTTGGCACCCGTTTCAGCTGTTTCCTACACAATCTGACAGGGGAGACGACTTCAAGTGCCAATACCTTGGTGGCCAGTGTAAGGTAAGAGAGCACAGTTCCTCGTTTTTATACCTCCCCCTACAGCTCACAGAACACGTTGTTCGCACCACAGTCCATTTCTTTCAGATTTGCATCTGCTGCACGTTCAAGGTTGGGTTCACAAAAAGCTGTCAGTGTGAGTTTCACGTTTTTTTTATTCTTTAAATAAAGAACCATATAATAAACATGAGAAAATGCAAAAAAGTAAACTTTTTTTTAACAATGCAGTGACAAAAGAGTTCAAAACAATATTCATATTTATATTCATGAAAGACCACTTCCATTCTATGCATCAGTTTACAAAAACTGTGAGACCATTTTTTATACATATATATTTATTTTTTCATATATATAATATATATTTATATGTACAATTTTGTCATTTCTCTTAAGTTTTAAGAAACAAAAGAAATCAGAAAGCTTAGGTGGCAAACAGTGTTTCATACTAATGGGCAAGGTAGCAACATTTAAAAAGTGCTCAAATACATAGAGTGCCGCTTTGCTACTGAATAGGGTCTTGGAGAAGGTGTTTTTTGTGGAGATTCAGGACGTTAAATTGTAGGGTGACCTGTGTTTCACGTAAATCACTCTCTCCTCCACAAACCTAGAAATCAAAATGATTCATACCAATTTCTTCGAGTCTTGCACGTTTCACGACTGAAGTTCACAACTCGGGGAAGATTTAAATGAACGATTCAAAACACACAGCCAAAAGGTCATGCTGAACCTTTCCAAGAACCTTCATTCTGATACCCAGTGTTTCACTCAGTGCAGAATACAACACCAAAAAAAGACATCAATTTGGAGCCTTTGGTTACCAGACATCAGCATCCTGTAAAAATACACACTTCACGTAGGAGGGGAACCAGTTCAGTACTAATCCTGACAAGATAAATAACAGTGAATTGTTCAGTAACAGCGGTTTGTACTGTTAAGGAAACTCACTTAACTGGATTTTTTCTAGCCGTTTTTAATTTCGTAATCCAAGATAAGATTGAATAATCTGTTGCGTTTTCAAGAACTGCAGCAAAAAAAACCTTTGCATAAATGTGTGTGAAAAGCCCGTGATTGGAGAACTGGGTATTCAAACAGGCAGGAGGGTTGAAATTCTGGGAGCTTGCGGTCATGACTGCAGACCCAACAGGGTCCTGTCTGATTGTCTCATCTTTCTGGGTTGGTGCAGCGGGAGGCAAATTCAAACACCAGATCTGCAAGAATAATTCACCATAATAAAGATGCATTCTCTTGTCTGTGGGTTCTTTACAGTCCAGCCACTGCTGGAAGAAAGAAAGAGGACCCCCCCCTCAAGAATGACAAAAAAGGACACAAACGTCAGACTGATATTTTTAAAAAAGAGTGCCATGCAAAAAAGATGCCCTGTTGGTGAACTTCTATTAACCTCCAGTTCAGCAGATTAAGGTAGTTTATATCAGGAGCCCAACTAGTCTACATCGGGAGCTTGCTTTACATAAAACCAGGCAAGTCCTTCAGAAGGGGCTTCTCTTATCATACGTATCTACATGTGCAACGCAGGACTGTCTTCATATCCAATCTTGTCCCTGTGCAGTCAGAGCAGCCTGGAGTGGGACCCACTCTAGCGTGTTACCCTGTGACAGTCTGGAGAGGTTTCAGGAGAAGGGAAGAGGTGTGTGGCCCAGCGTGGAGTCGGCTCTTCTGCAGCCGCGGAGTCTGGGGGATTGAGATCCAGACAAGCTGGGGTTCAGCTGAACGTGCCTGAACAGGGACCTCAACAACCCCCTCCACCCATCCCAGGACAGCGTCCGGTTCGGAACCGTAAAGTTCAGTTGCAAGTATCAACCACGCTAGAGTCAGGATGAGTGCAACTGCAACAAAGCAAGTGTCATGGTTCACCCCTTACTGAGACACCGGTCAAACAGGAGCTCCTGTCTGTACTGTATGTGCGAGGGGCTGTGAGTGCAGGAAGATGTGAGCCCAGGGCCAGTAGGGAGGGTGGCTTTTTTACTTAGGGAATGAGAGGGTTTATTCAGCCTGTGCTTTGCCATACGCTGTGGGAAAGGCATGGCACTGGTACGTCACATGATGTCCACAAAAAACTCGCAGGGATTACCCATGGCATGCTGGAAGGACTGGCGGCTGGCAGTGAGTTCAGGAGGAACTGCCCCCAGCTCACGCACTGGGGGTGCCCCCGGAGGCCCGCTGCTCACAGGGGCTTTAGAGCCTAGCCTGGCGAGGCTATAAGGAGGAGGCAGGCCAGGGGGGCCATAGGAGGAGGCGTGGCTTCGCTCACTATGGGAACAAGAGGTGTGGCTATGCTGAGTATATACTGCTTGGGTATAGGAGAAGGAGGCGTGGCTGTGGAGGGAGTGGGTGTGGCTCCGGTGTGAAGTGGTGTGGCTATGGCTGGAGTGGGCGTGGCTGTGATGGCTCATCTGGCTGGCCGATCGCTCGCCCCGCCTCCCTCCCCGTGTGCCGAGCTCCGACTCGCTGCCGCCACTGCCTGTCGACTTGCGGTCCTTCTCCCGGGGGGAAGGGCGTCGACTTTTCCCTGTGCTGGGGTTGGAGCCACTGCTTCTGCTACCTACAAGACAAGAGGCAGAGAAACAGGCGACTTGACAAGGAGCTCCTCAGTTTCACAGCCAGTTTCTCCGATTTCCTCACATCAAACATGGAAACCCATTAGCAACTTACAATATTACAGTTTAGACTGAAGAAAACACAGTCCAAATTGCTAATGGCTAATCCATTAAATCTGTGATGTATAGCACTATTGCTGTGTCATTGCTAAAAGCGCTTGCCTAATAAACTTTTAAAGGCAATAAAGATGATCACACAACACAGAAAATGTTGTTACAGTTGGTTTTCTCTTAGTTGGTTTTGATTACTCTTCGTTGGCTTTGCTTACTTGTCATTAAAAACCGCAACTACATCATCAGACCATTTTACAAAACCATACGTACACTTTCCATCTATCTACATCTTGGAAATACAATTTTAAAAGTCTAAATAAGGCCCAATACATATTTCTCCCTACCTAGGTAACTAAAGCTGCCCCTTCATCTTTCACCAGTTGTTTTTTAAGGGAGGGGGAAAGACTTTGCAGAAGGTGGAGAGCTGGGGGTTGTTTTGGGGTCCACTGTCTCACTGCAGAGGGGGCCTCTGTGCACGGATACTGGTGTTGCAAGGGGACGGGCACCTGTGTCTGTGTGAGCCAGGCCTAAGTCTCAGTCCTGTGGCTGGGAGCCTTACAGCGAATGAGCGTGCAGCTCCAGTGCAGCTGAATACTCTTGTCAACACAACACCACACCATCAAACATGCTGAGAGAGAGCGGATGAAGGCAGGAGGCTGGCGAGAACCAAGAGGAGTGGCAACGCAGAGAGGAGGACAGCGGAAGAGAGGGACGGAGAGACGGGGGGGCTGTAAGAGCTCGGAGAAATGGCAGAAGGTGGGCATGGAGAAAGCTTGGAAGCGGGAGGGAGGGAGACTGTCTTACCGGATCCCCAGTGTCCTGGGATTACCTCCATCATCAGTCTACCGTTGCCCAGCAGAAACAGAGGGAACAACACAGTTACACACAGACCAGCACATCAGCGCCAGCGCCAGCCCCCCCCAGGCCAAGAGCGAGACAGAGGGGAGCCAGCCTCCCCCTCACACCCTGCGTTTTCCCAGGGGGGATGGAGAGAGAGAGCTGGGCTGCGGGGGTTACCCTAGATCCATGCACACACGATCCAGCACAGACTGGAAACACTCCAGTGTCATAATTCACCTGCTAGCCTAAAAAGCCTCTGTCATGAAGCCATTATACTGCCGTGTTGTGGAAGTCCGCAAGCCTTAGAAAGTTTTACCTGAACAGTGTGAATTGTTATGCTAAATCAGATGATTAAAACGTGAGGTAAACAGCAGCACGTCACAAGTTGTTCTAGATTCGTTTTGGTGGGGGTGGGTGGGGGGGTCTTGTCAAATTTATTATTGCCACTTATTTTACGTTTTTTCTAATCCCTCAATTAAAACTTTCAGCTCTTGAGTCAGCTCTTAGCTGCAACCCCTGGACCAGCAAAGGAGGTTTGAGGGCCACAGACTCTGCAGGGACCCTCTTATTCCTCCAGGCCCCTGACCTCATCTCACACTGCGAGCCCACAGAGCCCCAGCACAGTCAGGGGACTGACAGGGGGGAGGCACAGGTGTGTGGGGAAGGCTGAGGGTCCCCTGGCTGAAGACGAACCCTGGCACGGCTCAGCCAATTATATGCTACCAACTGGAGGATGCTGGACACATCTAGTTCATAACATTGCCCACACCTTTGTGGGGATTTCCTGTTAGCTCTCAAATCTGTACCAGTTTGCATTTCTATGCTCTTATGAAGTGCAACTTCACTCGGGATTTAACAGTTGCTGGCATTTGGTGCAAATAAGTTAATTTCCTTCGAGGGGACATGTCCTCACTTCCTTTGAGGAAATTATTCTTCATCTTTTCTCCCCACGTTGATCCCCCCCTCCCCATCCCCCTAGTCTCTCACACACACACACACAAACCCCCTCACAAACAGAGGGGCTGTTAGGTGTCAGCAACAGAAGAAGAAGAAAAAAAAAATCAGGAAAGAGGATGAAATGGGGAAAAGGACAGAAAGATGGCTGTGATGTGTGGAGACAGAAGAATATGGTGACGGATGCCTGCAGCATGAAGGAGATCCCTAAAGCAGAGCCAGACAGACTCTCTCCTACTGAGAACTGCTTCACCGCCCAGGGCCTCTCGCACCTGGGCCACCTGACCCTCCACCTCCCTCGTCATCCAGCGACGACCAGAGAAGAGCAACCAGCTGCCTTCCAGGCCTGGAAGGAATGTTTCACTCTGACAGGCTGAAACAAGGGAACCTATTTATTCCTATTGAACAGGGAAGACGGCGAGGAGACACCATTCACAGATTCAAAGTCCTCGGGGACTTGGGGGTGCTGGCAAAGTCACCCCAGTGAGGCCTCCAGAATTGGTGGTGAAACACGAACTGGAGGACAAGGAGTGGAAACTACGAGGAAGTGCATCTGAAACCAAGAACCGGAGGCACTTGAGTACCCAGAGGGTTGTCGGAAACAAGCCACGTTTTCAAAGCCAGGACCGTCGATTCTTTCAGGAAATGGAAGCCCAGATCACTTGGCCACTTAAAAAAACAAACCAATGAGCTGAGTAGCCTCCTCTTGTTTGCTCCCGTTCTTATGTAATGTTGTTTTTGCGTGACAAAAAATCCAACTGGCATTCTTGCCTGCCAAGAGTTTGCAAGGTCTCAAGATCAAATTGGAAATAACAGGTCCTTCAGCAGATATTTCCATCAGAGGTAAACTATGGACAGTACAGGCTAAACTGTGTGTCGTAGCTGCTCACTCAGAATGAGGCCATGGTTTTCCATCTAATCCTGTGGACCTGGGGGGAAAAGATCTTAACTGCCTTAGTCAAGGCACACAAACGACGTGTGTAATCAAGATTACAGAAAGGGAGCCTGTAGCACTGCAGGAGACTTGAAACAGGAGTTTAATCACTGAACCACCTCATCTCTAATCTACACACTTTAGTGTAAAGATCCCCTATCCCCAAACCCACTAGGATTCAGGTACTTCCTATCTAACGTAGGAAACTATGAACTCTATTATAAGGTAAAATATTTTACATAAAAAAGTAACTTACAAATAAAACAATACATCTTTTTTTTTTTCCTTTTTCGACAAAGTATCGACTGTTTATGTAGATATAATTTCCAGTTGTACCAAATCAAGGAAACTAGCCCTACTGCCTTAAGAAGATTAAGAAACTTCATTTCTGGAACCTCTCAACAGAATGAGAAATAACTTGCTTTTTGGAATGACTTGACTTGGGCAAAGAAGGAAAAAAAAAACGATAACAATGATCTGATAGCGTTTCCAAGCTGGCACGGAGATGATCATGTGTGAAAACAGATCTGTTGTATGGCCAGACACAGGCGAGCCTCTTGATTTCACAGCTACAGCTCCGCTGCCTGAACTATGAAGTGTTACATGGCGGGGATCAGAGGCTCTTGCATTCCCAGGGGACATAGCTGTTCTGACTGTGGACCCTACACTGCTGTTATTAGGGAATACATGACTAACCCCAGGCATGAGAGACACTGCTCTGCCCAGCACGCCCTCATTGACATTCCCCGGTCCCAGCTCTCAGTAGCTCTGCTGCAGTGCCTGCCAAACAGCTACAGCTCTACTGGGTGCAGATGCCAAAATACCACAACATCTGCTGCAAACCACCCTCCCAAGCGACGTGTGTAGTGTTCCACCATTTACTTTGCAGATCTGGCTGACAGGGGGAGATCAGGGGATGGCAACCATGACTGATCGGCTGATGCCATTTATGCGGGAGGAAAAAACCACAAGACGTTGGTTCCCAAGAACCCCCCACGGCGCCCCAGATCCCTCCCCCCTTGCCCCACTCACCCTCGCTGTGCTGGCTGCCTGCACTGCCACTGTGGAAGCTGTGACAGGGGTCGGAGTACCCCGGGGGGAAGCCAGGGGGGGCGGAGGGGTACGGGGGGTAGGGGAAGGGCTGTCCCCCCATGGGCCAGGGGTTTGTGGCAGGGGGAGGCAGAGGAGCCAGGGTGTCCTGCTCTGAGCCCCCACCGCTGGAGCCCTCGTTCAGGTTGAGAGAGGCCATATCTGAGAACATCAGAGGAGGGGAGGGGCGGATTACAGTACATGAAGGACGCACGGCAATATCACCATCGTTTGCTCATCACATTTTTGTCATTTCTAATTTTGATATCACCCACTTCTCATGTACACCCTGCTGAAAATAATCCTCTAAAAGAGAACTACAAAAGTGCAAAAGCAATAGCAGTGAAAGAAAATCACATCCCAATATTTTATGTACAGTAGGTGACACCCTGTAGTCTTTATAATAATAATAATAATAATAAACTTTATTTTATATAACGCCTTTAAAGGTGGGTTCTCAAAGCGCTTTACAGGATGACAATAACAATAAATAAGAAGACTAACAGTAGTAACACTCAGTTCATTAAGTATCAAGAGTGAAGGGCTGAGAGCCGTACTCTGGCAGAGGTCCCCGAAGGTGTAGTAGCACTGCTCGGAGAAGGTGATCTTGTTGACCGTGTGCCTCAGGTAGCCGTGTTTCAGCAGGCTGCTGGCGTACTTCCTAGCATCACGACGGTCCTTGAAGCCGTCCACCCGCGAGTACAGCCAGTCCACCACGTCCGCACCTGAGGGATTGTGTGAGCACACACACACATACACAACACACTGTTACACTTGTGGGGTCAGTTTCCTGGGCTGCTGTTTGGGTGGAGTTTGCATGTTCTCCCTAGGCTTGTGTGGGTCTCCTCCCACAGTCCAAAGACATGCCGGTGGGTTAATGAGCTTCTGGGAAAACTGGCCCTGGTGTGAGTGTGTGCGGGTCAGTGTGTGTGTCTTGGTGTGCCCTGCGATGGACTGGCGTCCCGTTGCTTGCAGGGATAGTCTAAAGGCTGTGTCAATTCCCAGGTGAGACACTGCTGTTGTACCCTTGATGAGCAAGTTACTTCACCCAGACTGATTGTTATAAACTCCATTAAAAGCATCAGGCCAATAATTTAGTAATAAATTACTTAGGGTACAACACTGATGTGAAATAATGCTACAATGTTTAAGCAGTTTTTTATATTTTAATTCCATTTAAAAATGCATTGCTGCAGGTATTCAGAATGTAGATCTATAACTAGTTTTTGTGATTAGTCTTAAGTAACTGGAGGGCTCTAAGAAGGAACAGGGATGCTATAAATATGTATATAATATGTGAAACACATGCATTTATCTGTAAGAACAAAAGGGCACTGTGTTCTAGCAGTCTGTATCGAGTGCTTTGAAGAAAAAAAGAAACTATCAGGAATGAGATACACTGAGGCTGAAGGATGCCCACTGATCATCAAGCCTCCTCACTGTTTTGCAAGATGACCTGGTGAATATATGCTCCTTCTCACTCATTAACCACTCTATCTCACCCACCCTTCCCCTTGGCTGCTGCACACACTTCTATCAATGTCATCTTAAAATCGCTCCCTGGAATACGTGCCAGGTCTTGAACCCACCCCTACCCTCTTACCGATGACGGCATTGGCGATGGTGATCTTCAGCCACATCCTGTCCCTGATCTCCAGGCCAGAGTCAGGAAGCTGCATCACCTTGACGATGGTTGCCATGTCTGTCTTGCTGACAGACAGCGGCAAGTCATCAAACTCTGAGAGAGAGAGAGAGGATAGATGGGACACTATTATAAATACAGCCAAAAAGATAAATCCCTCGCAAAACACTTATGACCCTGAATGCAACATCAGTATGGGATGCATTAATACCATATGTCCAAACTGTCCACTCCAAACAGTTAAAACAACATGGGATCCACCTCTTCATACATCATGTAGATCCAATGTTAATCACGGAGTGATTAAATGCAGTTTCTCTGGTTGGCGATCTTGTTCATCTCAAGAAAGGCAATTAATTATCCACTCTATTATTTGCTGTATTTAACTGGATATTTGTGAGATATTGCTCTGCATTATTTTTTAAAATAGAATCCTTAAGAACAATAAAGCCATCCTGCTTATAGCGCAGTCTGGGATGCAGCTTCTAAGCCAAGCACAGAAAGCAAGGGAAACATGGTTCCCAACTTTGACAGTACCGTAGTGTGGGTAAGGGCCAGTCAGAGCAGTGGTGTGGGTGATCCAGGCTGCAGGGTCAATAGGTCTCACTGGCTCTGCTGCAGAACAAGAGGACAAACATGCCTATTAGCACAAATACAGTCCTTATCAATGTGCTTCATCTGTATGAAGCTCTGTAATAGCTGCAGGTTCACATCAATTTAAGTACAGTAGAATTGAGCATAACTGCATAAAAAGATCAGTAAACTCACAGAAGAGTGTTTTAATGAGCAAATGTAAAAACACTAAATTAGCAAAAAAAACATACTGTACTTTACCAAAATTGAGTCAATCAATGGAACAGAAGCATTAATATTAAAATATTTTTTTTGATTACATAATGAAAAAGCTAAACTTTACATGCACGATTTGCAGTTTATCCCTATTCTGTACACCTATAAAACCTTTTTTTTCTTGCTACACTCCAAGGTGTGTATGTCATTTTTTTTCATGGATTACATTCAAACACGTTTTCTAAATAAACAGTAGATCCCTTTAGCATTATGCACTGCTGACATGAGCACAGCTGTATCTGTAAACCCGCGAAACATATTGTAAGGGACAGAAACGGCTCTTGTCGTCCGCGTCTGTCCGAGGGCTGGTTTCCAGCGCCTGTGTCCGGGGCAGGGTGCTTCTCTCACCTCGGGGGATGGTAAAGTAACTGCGAGGAGAGGGGTCCCAGCACTTGGCCACTGTCAGACTAATGGGGCTGTAGGAGAAACAGATTCCATCAGCTTCTGCGCCTCTCCTCGGCTCGGGCCTTGAATTGATTAGAGCATTCATAGTCATGTCTCACAGCCCCCCCGCCCGCCGACACCCCAGCCCAGTGATCACTGCACAGTTCTCCGACACAGAACTCCCCTCCTGTAAGAGCTACACACAAAGATGCCCCCTGTGCCCTGTCTGTCTGTCCCCTTGCCAACCTGGTAAAGCAGGTGTGCTCCCGAGGAACCCCTGTGTGTGTCCCATCTCGGCCTGAATCTCTGGCACGAACTGGTGACAGTGATGGAGCCACTTTTTGTGCACACGGGCTTATGGTCTCAGAAAGAGCCTAGGTAAAGCACATTGTTTCCAACACACTTGGGGTATAGAAATTCATCCAGACTCTCCTCAGCTTTCCGACTGAGAGCTAGTTCCCTTATTTTTGCCTGCTCTGTAAAGGTGATAAATTTATGATGAATTAACACAGCTGGGAATGACATAATACTAGACACTTCACACCAGGCAAGAGTCTTCCTTCTGCATCAGTCCAATAAGTCACATTTCAGCGAACACACAATAAGGGCAACTCCTTAGTACTGGGTTAATACCAACATCAAATCCCAATCATCTTTTTAACAGTGGAATATAAATTGAAAAACAGACCCCCAAATGGAAAACTGAAATCAATCAGCCTACTGTACCATTAAGAATCTGGAGCAAATATCACTGTGTTAAGGGTCTCTCAGAACCAGAACTGAAAAAAGTGTGTTAAGGGTCGCTCTGGACCAGGGTAGACAACCAGTGTGTAAAGGGTCTCTCATAACTGGGATTGAGAACCAGTGTGTTGAGGGTCTCTCAACACTAGGATTGAGAACCACTTTGTTAAGGGTCTCTCAGAAGAAGTAGCGAGAACTAGTGTGTTAAAGGAGAACTGCAGTGCTATTTTCATATTTCAGGGTTAGAAAGAATCAGCATTGACGGGCGCATTTCAAACCACAGTGAAAGTAGAATGTGCACAGTAACATGTAAAACCTGCAATTTACATCACAAAATCTCCCAGTATGGGCAGCATTCAAATCGAGGCAACAGGACTTCTGGGACGTATGTGGCCCTATGACATTGTAAACCAGCAGGCTTGTGAACACGTCTCTCTTAATCCAATAGAAATATTGTTCTCGATTTTCAAATTGTTTTGCCGACAAATACTACTTGTTTGTTAACTCTGCATGCAGATCATGTTGGAACATTTCTGCGGCGAAATGTCAGCTGCACAACCTGTACTTATTCGCTGGTACTTCACATTACATTACATCACATTACATTAGCCACCACTGCAGGGAGGGCTGCATCACGTCATTCGTAGGAATGCCAGTCTACGACAGCAAGGCAAATTACAGGACTTCCACAAAGTCCAATTGCCATTTTTTTCAGATAACGTTGATGAATTTATTTTGGCACCGAGATTTAATAACTGGTCTGAGAAATGGGGGGCCACCGTTCCTCTTTAAGGGTCTCTCACGATCAGGACAGACAGCCAGTGCGTTAAGGAGCACCGTCCGCTCACCCGGGTTTGGAGACGATCTCCCTCAGGATTCGGACGGCGTCATCGTTGCTCATGTTTTCAAAGTTCACGTCGTTGACCTGCCCGAGGCACAGAACAGAGGTGGCTGAGGGAGACCCAAACAGCAAAACAGCTACACCATCCGGCAACCTGAGCTGCAAGCCAGAACTTCGTCAAAGGAATTTTTTCAGCATGACTTTTTTTTTTTTGCACTGGCACACTTGAGCCCTCGCAGTTAAGAGACACTTGACCTTCACGAAGATCTTTTCTGGTATGACAGGTTTGGAATTCTCACAAATGCCCAGAGCCTTGTATCCACGTCCATTTGTCCGATGTGTAGTACAAATATATTTCGGGAATCTGACAGCCTATGTTCCCTCGAGCAGAGGCACAATGAGCGTTGAGCTTTTACCTGTAACAGCATGTCTCCTGGCTCGATTCTTCCATCGGCTGCAACAGATCCCCCCTTCATAATGGAGCCAATATAGATGCCCCCGTCCCCTCGGTCATTGCTCTGTCCCACTATACTAATCCCCAGGAAATTATATTTCTCTACAAGACAGAGGGAGAGACAGAAATAGAACAAAAACACAAATCTTGTTGAGGTACTTTTCAACATGCTGTCAGACGTCACTGATGATAAAACTGCTGTGAGAGCAAGCTGGCTTCTGACTCCTTGGCAGCAGACGGGGGGGGCGGGGGGGGGGAGAGGCAGGACGACTGGTAGGAGGAGGTCTTACCCATGTTTAGAGTAACAGTGATGATGTTGAGGCTCATGGTGGAGTCAGTAATGCTGCTGAACGAAGACGACTGCAGGAGAAAAGAGAGAGAGAGGGGTCGGACAGCATGAGCTCACGAGAGCACATCCTAACGAACACCCAACGCAGAAAACACCTTCACTCGTTACTGCACGGCGCACGCTATCTTCCAGCACGCAAAATCAGGACAACAAGTTGCCTGGACCCTCTGATCCCCCAAAAGGCACACATGGACCCTCAGCCAAGTCTAACACTGCCTGCCAATCGCCACAATTGCACAGTTCTAGGCAACAGTATCAAAAACTAAAGTTTCTATTCTCCCCTTTGAGCTGAAACCTAAATATACCCAAGCGCCATACAGATGTAAAAACTAAGCAGGAGAGACCATGAGAATGGTCAATGCTAGCTAAAAATCAGTTGTATCCCAACCCATCAGAAGAAAGTAAGAATTCTTGCTTTAGTGGTGGTAAATCAGCTGGAGATGTATAAACAGGGAGCACAGCAGCTGAATGCTCGGACTCCAGCTGATCTAAGAAGATTTCTCTGATCCGGCTGAAAGATCTGCTGTTGGGCCAGCCGTGCGAGACGCCAATGCTTCAGGCTCGCGGGGTCCTCACTCACCCGGTCGATTTTGGCAACCTTGTGCCTGCGCCGGCGGCGTTTGTGCCTCCTCATCAGCCGAGAGGAAGAGCTCTGCTCTGTTGAGCTGCTGAGCCTGGGGAATGAGCGAGGGTGACAGTGAGCACAGGAACATACAGGACATGAGAACAAAAACATGGCGACAAACCAGAGGAGGTCATTTCGCCCATCTCGCTCATTTAGTAGCTATTAGATAATTGAGCCTGGGATCTCAGCCAGTTGTTTCCTTAAAGGAGCCAGGGAACTGGCTTTGACAGCATGGCCAGGTGATTGTTCCACGCTCCCACCACACTCTGTGTAAAACAACTCCTGTCTCTTCAATTATTAATGCACTTGAGCAGAATGAGGCTCATTCCCCTCTGTGTTGCATTCATCGTGATCATACTAATCTAGTTTGGCAGTTCCCAGAGAACTCCCTACAAACCTAGAGGAGATTATTAACAGCGATAATAAAAACTGACAGCTGTGTGAACAGTAAAACTGGTTTCAAAGAACTGATTATATTCTGCACACTTAATAGCAGAGAATGAACTCTGTCTAATCTGAATTGATATTTGTGTTGAAGGATCAACCGGAGAATGATGGCAGTGGGAATGTTTAATCGGGATTTTTATATGTTCTGAAATGGATTAACAGTGACATGAATGCTGACGAGGCAGAACCGGTGCACAGTGGTTAGCATTACTGCCCTGGGTTCAATTCTAGACCTAGGGTGCTGTCTGCATGGAGTTAGTATGCTCTCCCTGTGTTTGCATGGGTTTCCTATAGGTGCTCCAGTTTCCTCCCACAGTCCAAAGACATAGTGGTAAGCGTCTGGGAAAACTGGCCAGTGTGTGCCTTGCAATGGACTGGTGTCCCTTCCAGGGTGTACCCATTTCTTGCTGGCCTGCGACCTGTCCCCTGTGACCCTAAATTGGATGAGGTGGCGAGATAACGGACGAATGGGTGAATGCTGACCTGCTGGCGTCCTCCTCTTCCTCGCTGTCGATGAAGGAGCTGGACTCCAGCTCGCTGCTCATCATGGAAGCGCTGTCGTAGCCCATGGCTGAGTCCCGCGCCGCGCGCTCTGCCTTGGAGTGGCCGTTCACTCGCGGGACTGACCGGGACAGACAGCAGAGCGAGAGACGGGTTAGAGGAACAGACAGGAACAGGAGAGGATTGAAGGGGCCTGTCTGGGAGATTAGCGTAGCGAGATGGGGGGATTGTGTGGAAAACAAGAAAAAGGATTAGAAGGGGGAGAGGGAGATGGAGGGAGACCATCAGAGAGCAGGGTGTGGCAGAGTAGTGGAATTAGGACTGAAGAGAGAAACGGGGGAGGGGGAGGGGAGAGAGAACAAGAAAGAGATAGAGAAAACAGATAAAGACAGGAGGGATCAAGTGAAGGACATCAAAACGCCCCATCCCTGCCCTCTTTCAAACATTACATGTAAATCAGAAAAGACTCTGAACGAGGAGAGGTCACAGTAGCAAATTAAGCTTGTTGACTCTATAGGCAAAAGCTTGGTTTAAATAAGGACATATGGAATGAGAAAAGGCCAATTGTTTTCACATGATTTAAAACATGCAAGTCTATGTACACCCAACAACAGAACCCTTTGTTTTCTATACCCCCCCCAAGCAATTCCCCCCCCCCCCCCAACTCTCTTTCCCATACATACATTGCCGCGGGCATGGCTGGATCTCAGGGTAGCACCTGATTGGCTGGAAGGCTCTGACAAGGCGATGAGGTCGCTGCGCCCCCTGCTGAGCTGGAGGTCTCCTGGGACGACCGAAACACTCCAGCAGAGTAGTGGTGCCCATCACCATACACTGCGCCACTGCACACAAGTGTCCACTCGCTCACACCCCGTTTACAAACGTACACATGTACCACTGTCAGCACAAAGTACACAGCTATGCACACTCACGCAGCATGAGTGCATCATAAATCAAACTCCCCCACTCGTGCAGGTGCACACAGGCATACCTGAAAGCACACACAAACGGGAGTCAAATACTTTCTAAAGTCTCATCTGCAATAACCAGCACATTCAGCCTGACCAATCGCCCCCTTCTTTCATGCTCTCTTCTGTCTTATTTATTAACTGTTCAGAGAACGAGTGTCTGCTCACAGGCAGGCCGCGGGCTCCAGGTCTTATCTACAAGCGGAGGCAGGGAGAGAGGAGAAAGGAAGGGAGAGGGGAGGGGAGAGGAGAGGGAGATGCAACATGGTTATTTCTATCCAATCTCTTCCCGCTAGAACGGATTTAAGAGGTCACGGCAAAAAATATTCAGCTTGTTTTCCAAAAGTAAATCACCATTTATAAAATGAAAAAAAGCTTAACAAATGTCTGTCAGTCCTAACAGTTAACCTGAGGTGACCAAGACCCAACAGCACTCAGCGCAGTACAGATCGTTCAGTGGAGTTAGCTGTCCCTTTCCACAGTAATACAGAACAAGACATGAGACACTAGCAATATTAAGATGGATGGCAATAACACAGATGTAGGTACTGGGACTTCAACTGCAGGGTTAATAGCTTCTCTAAAACCACAACTCTATATGTCACGCCCTGCAGTTCATAATTCTACATGCTTATGAGCGCAATGAAATATACAGTAAGAGTTTCAGCACTGAGTATTTTCAAAATAAGCCAACCTTTCTAAACATCAAGAGCATGTGGAGAGTACCCAAAAGATCCCTGGAAAGTACAGCAGACTTTAACAAACCGGCACATGCAGTGATATCAGACGACGTGTCAATCTCGGACGTCTCCAGGTTTACAAGGTTTCGGAAACACTGAATAATCTTATTGCTGCAGCTCAAATACTGACGTAATCTAGCAGGGAGAGGAGTGTTGTGGGCGCTGAAGATACAAGATCAGTTCAGGAAACAGGAGGTGTCGCTAAGGCAGATGCCCTTACTGCTGCCTGAGGTACTGCAGATCTAGACAGTGTTGCATGTGATATAGCAAAACTGAACCCAGGTCTCAATTAGCACCCCACTGCTTTTCATCAGACTAACATTCAGAAGAGGTGTTTTAAAATGGATTAGGCTTTGAAAATTCCCAGAGACCTCTGATACACCCTGCCTTAAAAAAACTAAAATAACTGAAGGAGAATTTTTTTAATTCCAGTTTATTGCACAGGTTGCTAAGGAACAAGAACTTGCCCATATTGGAAATGAGTTCCTGCATGCTACAGTTTTTAATGTTGCACCTGAAACCCTGAGCCGGGTTTCCACTAAAACAGCATTCCTGGGAAGATGGATAACCCAGTCCCAGAAACTATCCAGAACTACCAGCAACAAAGTAGTTTAACTGCACGGCAGAACTCTTTACTTTATTAGCTACACTACCAGTGTCCAATCTAAAACCTGAGAGCGTTATTTAATTTTTCAATTGATATTACAGTAATTGATTCTCGTTATTGTTCCGCTACTATGGATGGTGTGATTATCATTGTACATTTATATGCGCGAATGAAGTTCGCTCGGCATGTTTTTAGCAGTATTGAAGAGAAACACACTAGGCTATCAACTCAACAGCAATAGCAACAGGACTGTCATTAACCGAAATTGCATCCCTCAAACCTAGCCACTGGGGCTTAAGAACAGCGCATAATGCAGCTTTCGCTGTAATTTCATTTCTCCAGAGAAACCTCTTAATTCGCACCTAGAGCAAAGCCGCTTTAGGCATTATATAAGGGACGTTGCATATAGGAGGAGAGTGAGCGAATCTATGCTCAGCGCACACAGCTGTGAAGTGGAATCAGGACCCGTTCTCAGTAACTCAACTTAATGTATTGACAGGAGAACGATATAACATCCATTGGGAGCAGCACTGACATCATTTCCAACAACAATAATGACCACAATTTCTAAGTGATGCACTTCGAAAAGTATGAAACAGCCGTGACCCTCACAAAACTGAGACCAATTATAAACGCAGCAAATGAGAGTTTGGTGCTCATTTATCGAGCTTTCAGATGCCTTTCGGCATTTATGCTGCTCTCCATAACCTACCATCAACAAAGCTTCTGTTGGCGTTTTGCTGAGTTCTGTTCTTTTGAAATCGTTTATTTCACAGCCCTCGCCCCCCAACGCTGTCGATATTTTCTTATTATCGAGCACTTGCGCTGTCCCTTTAACCCCCCCCCAAGCAGTATTGCAACGTAGTAAACTCAGGTCCTCTTACCTCGGTCTCTGCTCAGTGCCCACACGGACGCGACTGAGCGCACCGCGCGTACTGTAGGTGCTTCTTCCACTCGGCGGCTCGGGAGCGCGCACACAATTCCGCCCCCGTCGCCCAGGCTCGCCCACACCCGTAGCTGCGCGGGAACTCGCGCGCCCCCGCCTCACAGGCACTCGGGCGCGCCCCCGCCGCCGACACACTACGGTATTGAGCAAAAGCTGTCAGACTTGTCCCCCGTTTCAGGCACCTCTGCCAACAGGTGATTTACTGTCATCAAGGCTAGCCCGGGGTAATGTAACGGATAGCTCCGAGTAAACACCTCTCTCCGCTTCTCTTTTTGACACCCACAAAACCCTGGCTCTCCTCCCTGCTTTTGGAAAGCCACCAAACGAAACGCCCGTTTCTAAACGATAAACCGAGGCATTATCGACGCCTAGGACATGAACGAAATGACGCCTCGGGATTCAGGACATTCGATTTTTTTTAATTACAGTGGCATACATGAGCAAGCTGTTGTATTTTTACAACGACATTAACTTTCTAAAACGAATATTAAGTGGTTTTGTAATCACAGAGAGCAATTGGCTTGTAATAATCAAGCTTTTGAAACCTGGCTGGAAAATAAAGCCCATTTTTTTATTGCAACTATTAAGAAACAATCCAGAAAACAGCACGATTTCCGTAAATTTGCCTCGGTATGTTTTAGTCACTTTCCTGCAGACTCTGCAGGACAATGCTTCATTGTCCAACCTGTAGCATGCTTTTATACCACTCTAACGCAATAAATAAAGCTTTGTCCACCCAGAAAACGCTTTTTAAAGCGAACAAGTTTGGCAGAAAACTTGTTTTAAGATCTGACTGCAGTCATCAGCTTTAGAGATTACAATGATTAAATAAAACTGTCATTGTATTTTTTTTATTAAATGCATTTTTATCTGCACAAAAACATAACAAATGCACGGATAAAATATGGGTTAAGATGTATTTGGAGTGCCTTGTCAGTAAGTTATAGTTCGTGTCACACTGTTTTATTTTGTGCTGCTGTGTTACAACAGCAGTGCAGCAGTCTGGAGCGAAGTACACGACAATAAATGTGCTCTTGTGCACTTCAACCTAGATTATGGGACACTTAAGCATCTTGTCCATCATGTTTCAAAGAATCATGTGTTACAGCATTAAGAAAATAATAGACCTGGCAAAACATTTCCAAACCCTCTAAAGGTGTTAAACTGTGGCTACTGTATCTTTAAGGCTTATTTTTTTTTCCACGTCTCTACAGAGAAGCCCTTAAAAATTGTCTCCCGAGCACTTTGTAGTCCTGGATCGGATTCAGCGGAATGTGTTTTGTGACAACCGACATACATTTTTGATCGTTTATAAGTGGGTAGGACTTTAGAGTCTGATTAAAAAGCAATTCTCAGAATAAAATGCGCACTAAACTTGCACCACCCCAATGAAAGTGCCTGGTGCTTCTGTACAGATAGATAAGATCTCAGGTGGTGTCAATCTGCCTGCTGAGCTCTCGGGCTCAGTGCAGGGAACAAGTGATTAACCGGGTGCAGTTTGCCAGTGGGTATGAAACAGATACACTCACACAAACATACACAGCCCCCAGAGCCAGTCTTCCTTCCCTACACAACACCCACAGCTCATTCCTGCATTATTCCTTTTCACGCTTCTTAAAAAAATGACACTGAAGTATAGGATTACCAGGGTAATGCAGGAATTTACTCTGTTTTTCCTGTCCAAACAGCGAGCTTTCACTGAGATTCGTGTTTCGATGGAACTCAACATCAAGTCTTACAATGCTTCACCGTTTTACTAGAATTTGACACACTTAACTTTAAAAGCACGCCTTGCGTGGCATTTTATCTCAGCTGTCTCTAAGCTTGTCATCACATCACATTTGCCACGGTTTCCTGCTCTCCGATTGCAGAAACCACCTTGGTTTTCGTTGTGTTTAATCTCTGCTTCACAGTTCCTTAACCAATCCTTTACAGAGGGTGCCTGCTAGGAGTCTTTAAGGCGAGAGGGAAAATAGACACAATCTGGGTTCTAGGCATTAAAAAGTCTTGGTTAAACACGCTGACATGCATCTACACAGTCACCCAAGACTTCAGACAAAGGTGTATGACCGCAGGTGCAAGGTTTTTTTGAAGGGGGTGTCAATTAATGCTTCACACCTTGCCTGTGCAAAGGCACAGCACTGCAAGTGTATGTGTGAGCGAGTCTGTGATTTTAATTTGCATGCAAACGCCCTTTGTGCAGTTATGTGCAGATGTCTCTTAAAGAGGCTGTGGACATGTGGACATGTACGGTAGTGTCTTTAGGATGTGAGCAATGTAACAAATGCCTGACAGCCTGTACAACAAGATAAGGACAGACAACAACAACAACAATAATAATAATAATATTCTTCACACTTATATAGTATTTTACTGGCTACTTCACTCAAAGTGCCTTACAGGTAATGGCGACTCCTCTCTGCCATCACAACTTTGTAGCCCCCACCTGGATGATGTGACAGCAGCCAAAGTGCACCAGTACACTCACCACACACCAGCTCTTGGTGGGAAGGAGAACAGATGAAGATATTAGAAGGCCAGGATTGGTAAAGTTCAGGGGGAAATTTGGCCAGGATACCATAGTAACACCCCTACTCCTTTAAAGAAATGTTCTGGGATTTTGAATGATCGCAGAGTCAGAACCTCGGTTTTATGAAGGCACCTTTTTTACATTATGGTGTCCTCACTGGACTGGGATCCACACAGACCGCAGGGTGAGTACCCCTACTGGTCTCACTAACACCCCTTCAGCAGGGACCTCGGTTTTCCCAGAAGGTCTCCCATCCAGGTACTGGCCTGGCTCACGCCTGCTGATATAGCTGCAGAACGCCTATACTGTAGGCCCTACTGAAAAAGGCACACAAACTCCATGTCAGATTGTCAATCGGTCCCCTCAGACAGC